GGATGTAACCTGCCATTGTGTAATTCTGTAATGTGTAGGGTTTACTGTCAGGAAGGATGTAACCCGCCATTGTGTAATTCTGTATTGTGTAGGGTATACTGTCAGGAAGGCTGTAACCTGCCATTGTGTAATTCTGTAATGTGTAGGGTTTACTGTCAGGAAGGATGTAACCCGCCATTGTGTAATTCTGTATTGTGTAGGGTATACTGTCAGGAAGGCTGTAACCTGCCATTGTGTAATTCTGTAATGTGTAGGGTTTACTCGGGTTTACTGTCAGGAAGGATGTAACCTGCCATTGTGTAATTCTGTATTGTGTAGGGTTTAGTGTTAGGAAGGCTGTAACCTGCCATTGTGTAATTCTGTAATGTGTAGGGTTTACTGTCAGGAAGGATGTAACCTTCCATGTGTAATTCTGTAATATGTAGGGTTTACTGTCAGGAAGGCTGTAACCTGCCATTGTGTAATTCTGTATGGTGTAGGGTTTACTGTCAGGAAGGATGTAACCTGCCATTGTGTAATTCTGTATTGTGTAGGGTTTACTGTCAGGAAGGATGTAACCCGCCATTGTGTAATTCTGTAATGTGTAGGGTTTACTGTCAGGAAGGCTGTAACCTGCCATCTTGTAATTCTGTAATGTGTAGGGTTTACTGTCAGGAAGGATGTAACCTGCCATTGTGTAATTCTGTATTGTGTAGGGTTTACTGTCAGGAAGGATGTTACCTTCCATGTGTAATTCTGTAATGTGTAGGGTTTACTGTCAGGAAGGATGTTACCCTTCATTGTGTAATTCTGTATGGTGTAGGTTTTACTGTCAGGAATGATGTTACCCTTCATTGTGTAATTCTGTAATGTGTAGGGTTTACTGTCAGGAAGGCTGTAACCTGTCATTGTGTAATTCTGTATGGTGTAGGGTTTACTGTCAGGAATGATGTTACCCTCCATCTTGTAATTCTGTAATGTGTAGGGTTTACTCGGGTCTACTGTCAGGAAGGATGTTACCCTCAATTGTGTAATTCTGTATTGTTTCTGAAGTTTATAATGAGACAATGCACATCTTGAGTCTACAATAAGGAAAACCTACATATGAATTTTGAAAATGATCCATCTAGTTCTTCACATAAAATTGTGATAACAAGAATTATAGAGGACAGATGGCAGACAGGCTACCTATGAAACACAAGTTGATGATGTTCGGCTAAAAATGGTATGGAGACTGTTATTGATTAATTTGGTCTTTGTGGACAACTCTGATAATAGTAACTGACCCTTACAGATAGAAAGTGGTGTCCATCATGTCATTTATTCACAGACGTATAGTATCCTGACTGTGTTGTCCAACACACCGCCTTACAAACCCACATAATACATACAACTGTTCATCCGTTTCTTGCACAAATACAAACCTATAAGATACACATTTTTACCATCATCAGCCCAGACAAGGAATTGTGTGTGTGTCCAATAAACATCTCAGGGCACAGGAGCTAGTCCTACTCTACAGTTGTGTTGTTTTTGTCGGGTTCCATACATTTGTGTCATTAATAACATTCAAAGGGGAGAATTTTTACCGATTTTTCAAGGTCATGCCATAATTCAGGACGTGTCAAGGTCACCTGGGGTCTGACTGCTGCCATTAATGATCGTTATCCATGCGTGATATACTATTGAGATAGTCAATTGTTTTCTTTGGTTTATCAACATTTGATATCAAAACAATAACAGAAAAAAAAATGTTAACACATAAGACACAGTTACATGTACCTGCTTTAACACAGATATTGTTGTATTTCCCAGGATTTAGGATAAAATAGGAGAGAAAAGGTCTCTGAATTTACCTGGTTTACCTCATAAACCTGTATACTTCATACACCTGTATACCTTAAACACATGTATACCTCATACACCTGTATGCCTCAAACACCTGTATGCCTCATACACCTGTATGCCTCATACACCTGTATACCTCAAACACCTGTATACCTCATACACCTGTATACCTTATACACCTGTATACCTCATAAATAGTGATCCAGTAGAAATATCTATATATAGAAATATCACCCCCTGTCATCACACACAGTGATCCAGTAGATATATCTTTATATAGAAATATCACCCCCTGTCATCACACACAGTGATCCAGTAGATATATCTATATATAGAAATATCACCCCCTGTCACCATACATGTTGTTCCAGTAGAAATATCTATATATAGAAATATCACCCCCTGTCACCATACATGTTGTTCCAGTAGAAATATCTATATATAGAAATATCACCCCCTGTCACCATACATGTTGTTCCAGTAGAAATATCTATATATAGAAACATCACCCCTGTCATCACACACAGTGACCAGTAGATATATCTATATATAGAAATATCACCCCTTGTCATCACACACAGTGACCAGTAGATATATATCTATATTTAGAAATATCACCCCCTGTCATCACACACAGTGACCAGTAGATATATCTATATATAGAAATATCACCCCCTGTCATCACACACAGTGACCAGTAGATATATCTATATATAGAAATATCACCCCCTGTCATCACACACAGTGACCAGTAGATATATCTATATATAGAAATATCACCCCCTGTTATCACACAGTGACCAGTAGATATATATCTATATATAGAAATATCACCCCCTGTCATCACACACAGTGACCAGTAGATATATATATATATATATAGAAATATCACCCCCTGTCATCACACACAGTGACCAGTAGATATATCTATATATAGAAATATCACCCCCTGTCATCACACACAGTGACCAGTAGATATATATCTATATATAGAAATATCACCCCCTGTCATCACACACACACAGTAGATATACTATATATAGAAATATCACCCCCTGTCATCACACACAGTGACCAGTAGATATATCTATATATAGAAATATCACCCCCTGTCATCACACACAGTGACCAGTAGATATATCTATATATAGAAATATCACCCCCTGTCATCACACAGTGATCTAGATATATCAGATAGATATATCACACACAGTGACCAGTAGATATATCTATATATAGAAATATCACCCCCTGTCATCACACACAGTGATCACACACAGTGACCAGTAGATATATCTTTATATAGAAATATCCCCCCCTGTCATCACACACAGTGATCCAGTAGATATATCTTTATATAGAAATATCCCCCCCTGTCATCACACACAGTGACCAGTAGATATATCTATATATAGAAATATCACCCCCTGTCATCACACACAGTGACCAGTAGATATATCTATATATAGAAATATCACCCCCTGTCATCACACAGTGATCCACTAGATATATCTTTAGATAGAAATATCACCCCCTGTCATCACACACAGTGACCAGTAGATATATCTATATATAGAAATATCACCCCCTGTCATCACACAGTGATATATCTATATATAGAAATATCACCCCCTGTCATCACACACAGTGATATATCTATATATAGATATATCACACTAGATATATATATATAGAAATATCACCCCCTGTCATCACACACAGTGACCAGTAGATATATCTATATATAGAAATATCACCCCCTGTCATCACACACAGTGATCCAGTAGATATATCTTTATATAGAAATATCACCCCCTGTCATCACACACAGTGACCAGTAGATATATATCTATATATAGAAATATCACCCCCTGTCATCACACAGTGACCAGTAGATATATCTATATATAGAAATATCACCCCCTGTCATCACACACAGTGACCAGTAGATATATCTATATATAGAAATATCACCCCCTGTCATCACACACAGTGATCCAGTAGATATATCTTTATATAGAAATATCACCCCCTGTCATCACACACAGTGACCAGTAGATATATCTATATATAGAAATATCACCCCCTGTCATCACACAGTGACCAGTAGATATATCTATATATAGAAATATCACCCCCTGTCATCACACACAGTGATCCAGTAGATATATCTATATATAGAAATATCACCCCCTGTCATCACACACAGTGATCCAGTAGATATATCTATATATAGAAACATCACCCCCTGTCATCACACAGTGATCCAGTAGATATATCTTTATATAGAAATATCACCCCCTGTCATCACACACAGTGATCCAGTAGATATATCTTTATATAGAAACATCACCCCCTGTCATCACACAGTGATCCAGTAGATATATCTTTATATAGAAATATCACCCCCTGTCATCACACAGTGATCCAGTAGATATATCTTTATATAGAAATATCACCCCCTGTCATCACACACAGTGATATACCATCACACAGTGATAGATATATCTTATATATAGAAATATCACCCCCTGTCATCACACACAGTGATCCAGTAGATATATCTTTATATAGAAATATCCCCCACTGTCATCACACACAGTGACCTGTAGATATATCTATATATAGAAATATCACCCCCTGTCATCACACAGTGACCAGTAGATATAATTATATATAGAAATGTCACCCTCTGTAGTCATACATGGTGATCCAGCAAAGGTTTATATATATAGAAATATCACCTCCTGTAATCATAAATGGTGACACAGTAGAGGTTTATATATAGAAATATCACCCCCTGTCATCATAAATGGTGACACAGTAGAGGTTTATATATAGAAATATCACCTCCTGTAATCATAAATGGTGACACAGTAGAGGTTTATATATAGAAATATCACCTCCTGTAATCATACATGGTGACACAGTAGAGGTTTATATATGGAAATTTCATACCCCCCATGGTGTTTGATATTGTACACATTTATTGAGAATATACGACTCTCTTAGATATAATATGTATGTATGACCTTAACCTTCCTATAGAATTGTAAGTAGATACAGTTTAATCTGTTAAAGATCTAAAATGACCTTGACCTCATTTTTTTAATTTCTGACTGTAAGACATCAAAAACACAATTCTGAGATTCAGCCTTAAATGAAATACCTACCTTCGACAATTTCTCCATTAGGAAACACAATCACAACTTTGCCCGATTTGCTGGACATAAAAATCCTTGGCCTGTCTGGCACAGGTTTGAGTTTGGTGAGATCCATTCCCAGATCCCTAGCATCATTTCTCTGGTGGTGTCGCACCTCGTGTTTGCCATGTATCAACAAATTCCAGTTGACATTTGGTCGAGGCATAGACAGCACCCCTGGAGGGGCCTGTTCTCCAGTCATAATAGGCAGGTTTTGCCCAGTACTGTTAAGGAATTGATAGAATATTTCCTCAGCTGCTGAACGTTGTTTACAATTTGATCTTCATCAGGCTAAACCAACTGGTGAATATCAATTATTCACTTTGCAAGAAACAATACCATTCTCCCGTATTTTGTATTGTGAAAACACTGAGGTAGGTGGTGGGCCAAACATCCATTACCATGAGGTAGGCCATAACATACAACTGCCTCATCACTCAATACAACAGATGTGGCTCAATATCTCCCAATAAATCTGTAAAACGAAATACATACTAACCATCTCACAAACAGCTAATGTGTTTTTGGCCGTATAATCTACCTCTGAGGTCTAACTTGAAATAAAAAAAAATAATAATAAAAATGATATGAACATAACTTCAGCATGGGTACTTGTATTCCAGGATATGTCTGCACACAAATATTGTCAACTGGTTCACATAGCATATGTGTACATCCTCAAATACAATATATAGGTCTACACATAATTCCAATAGAGAACATCTGTTTACACCAATCCAACAGACACTTCCGAGAACACTGCTGAAATTTCTATACAAGTATTCAGTGTTAAATCCGTAGAAAATTTGAATTCCTTCAGAGAGCATATGTTAACATCCTTCCGTTCTGTAATAGTGCGGGAGAGTCAGTGTATGAAACCAATACCTCACTCACTCTCCCTGGCGGAAGTGATTTCCTGGTGCTGTGAGATCTAGAGCTTTTCCCAATTCCACCACAACAATGGGCATACTGGCAGAAGGCACGGTGATGTACACATGAGTTTAATTAGATCTTGGCTCTATAACAGAGATAAGAGCTGGACTATACCTTGACGATTCGTTTTTGAATTGAGTTACAACCTAGTAGTATCCCACTTGATAACTGACAGGGTTGTTATAGGCTCATATCTAAATCCTTGTCAACATTGTCAGGCAGTCATCACTTCACCAATTCTGATAAAAAGCCATTCAAATTCTTAACTGGTTTCATACAAGTTACCAATGTATAACCCCCACCCCTAACAGTCTATATACACACTCTATCTGCTATATATATCTGATGTATATAACCCCCACCCCTAACAGTCTGTAGACACACCTCTCTATCTGCTATATATACCTGATGTATATAACCCCCACCCCTAACAGTCTATAGACACACCTCTCTATCTGCTATATATACCTGATGTATATAACCCCCACCCCTAACAGTCTGTAGAAACACACCCTCTATCTGCTATATATACCTGATGTATATAACCCCCACCCCTAACAGTCTATAGACACACCTCTCTATCTGCTATATATACTGATGTATATAACCCCCACCCCTAACAGTCTGTAGACACACACCCTCTATCTGCTATATATACCTGATGTATATAACCCCCACCCCTAACAGTCTGTAGACACACCTCTCTATCTGCTATATATACTGATGTATATAACCCCCACCCCTAACAGTCTGTAGACACACACCCTCTATCTGCTATATATACCTGATGTATATAACCCCCACCCCTAACAGTCTGTAGACACCCTCTATCTGCTATATATACTGATGTATATAACCCCCACCCCTAACAGTCTGTAGACACACCCCCTCTATCTGCTATATATACCTGATGTATATAACCCCCACCCCTAACAGTCTGTAGACACACACCCTCTATCTGCTATATATACTGATGTATATAACCCCACCCCTAACAGTCTGTAGACACACACCCTCTATCTGCTATATATACCTGATGTATATAACCCCCACCCCTAACAGTCTGTAGACACACACCCTCTATCTGTTATATATACCTGATGTATATAACCCCCACCCCTAACAGTCTATAGACACACCCCCTCTATCTGCTATATATACTGATGTATATAAATCCCACCCCTAACAGTCTGTAGACACACCCTCTCTATCTGCTATATATACCTGATGTATATAACCCCCACCCCTAACAGTCTGTAGACACACCTCTCTATCTGCTATATATACCTGATGTATATTATCCCCACCCCTAACAGTCTGTAGACACACCCCCTCTATCTGCTATATATACTGATGTATATAACCCCCACCCCTAACAGTCTGTAGACACACACCCTCTATCTGCTATATATACTGATGTATATAACCCCCACCCCTAACAGTCTGTAGACACACCTCTCTATCTGCTATATATACTGATGTATATAACCCCCACCCCTAACAGTCTGTAGACACACCCCCTCTATCTGCTATATATACTGATGTATATAACCTAACAGTCTGTAGACACACACCCCTAACAGTCTGTAGACACACACCCTCTATCTGCTATATATACCGGATGTATATAACCCCCACCCCTAACAGTCTGTAGACACACCTCTCTATCTGCTAACAGTCTGTAGACACACACCCTCTATCTGCTATATATACTGATGTATATACCCCCACCTCTACAGTCTGTAGACACACCTCTCTATCTGCTATATATACTGATGTATATAACCCCCACCCCTAACAGTCTGTAGACACACCCCCTCTATCTGCTATATATACCTGATATATATAACCCCCACCCCTAACAGTCTGTAGACACACACCCTCTATCTGCTATATATACCTGATGTATATAACCCCCACCCCTAACAGTCTGTAGACACACACCCTCTATCTGCTATATATACTGATGTATATAACCCCCACCCCTAACAGTCTGTAGACACACACCCTCTATCTGCTATATATACTGATGTATATAACCCCCACCCCTAACAGTCTGTAGACACACACCCTCTATCTGCTATATATACTGATGTATATAACCCCCACCCCTAACAGTCTGTAGACACACCCTCTCTATCTGCTATATATACTGATATATATAACCCCTACCCCTAACAGTCTGTAGACACACACCCTCTATCTGCTATATATACTGATGTATATAACCCACACCCCTAACAGTCTGTAGACACACACCCTCTATCTGCTATATATACCTGATATATATAACCCCCACCCCTAACAGTCTGTAGACACACCCCTCTATCTGCAATATATACTGATGTATATAACCCACACCCCTAACAGTCTGTAGACACACCCTCTCTATCTGCTATATATACTGATGTATATAACCCCTACCCCTAACAGTCTGTAGACACACACCCTTTATCTGCTATATATACTGATGTATATAACCCCCACCCCTAACAGTCTGTAGACACACCCTCTATATATCTGATATATATATAGACACACTGCAATATATACTGATGTATATAACCCCCACCCCTAACAGTCTGTAGACACACCCTCTCTATCTGCTATATATACTGATGTATATAACCCCCACCCCTAACAGTCTGTAGACACACCCTCTCTATCTGCTATATATACTGATGTATATAACCCCTACCCCTAACAGTCTGTAGACACACCCCCTCTATCTGCTATATATACCTGATGTATATAACCCCCACCCCTAACAGTCTGTAGACACACCTCTCTATCTGCTATATATACCTGATGTATATTATCCCCACACCTAACAGTCTGTAGACACACCCCTCTATCTGCTACATATAGTTGATGTTTTGTGGGGTGTAATTTTTATATGTTATGCATGTCCATGTTAGTACAGTGCTATTTCTCTGCCACACATATGTCCATATCAACCATATGTCTGTGACACATATGTCCTCACAATTCAATCAGCTCTCTGCATGCAATGGTTTGTTTGAAGTTGCAGTTAGCCTTAAATACACCTATACCTGTTTTTATTCTCCGGAAATATTTCAACTGAACGTTCCTTAACAAGATAATGACTAGTAACTGCCACAGATGGTATCAGAGTATGAGAGCTGTTGAAGGCAACATCCTTCAACTCTACCACATTCAGCCTGGTGTCATCAATACACACTGATACCCAATCATCCTTTCTTCAGTCAGCTGTTTATTGATGGTTCTTGTTGTTTTAATCCAAATTCCGAATTAACACAGAAATGAGAAGTTGTTAAATATCAGCCCAACTCACCAGCTCACCAGCATGGAGGCCCTTGTCTAGCTTTGTCCTAGCAGCTTTCAGGACTTTCAAGATAAATTACTGGTATGTGTGTGTTAGTGGCCCATGTTAGCCTGTCCAGATTTTTATCAAATTTTACACAGAAATTGGCAGCTATATACACATATGATACAGGGGAAATACAATCTGATAACAGGAACCACTACATTCAGCCATACCTCATCAAAGTTTACTCTTCGTGTGATTGACTGTCAAATAAGTTACTAGATAGGAGGAGTCTTAATGGAGAGCATGACTGAAATATCATTGCTTGTTAATCTGAAACAAAAATAACAATTTATATCCATGTTGGAGTAATATGTTGCCAATATTCACTGTTTCTCCCATTTTTAAACCTTTTTTTGGCAGAAGTGACCTCCTCTCACTGGTTACAAGAGGGGACTACTATTTCCTTCAACCTACAAAACTAATTACTTTCCTGACAACTGGAATGTTGACCAGCATTTAAACAAAAACAAAAACTGCCCTGACAAGCTAACCAGCCATGATCAGATCTACAACTGTAACTATTGCCCTGACAAGCTAACAAGGCATGTTCAGAACTACAACTGTAACTACTGTCCTGACAAGCTAACCAGCCATGATCAGATCTACAACTGTAACTATTGCCCTAACAAGCTAACCAGACATGATCAGACCTACAACTGTAACTATTGTCCTGACAAGCTAACCAGCCATGATCAGATCTACAACTGTAACTACTGTCCTGACAAGCTAACCAGCCATGATTAGACTTGCAACTGTAACTACTGCCCTGACAAGCTAACCAGCCATGATCAGATCTACAACTGTAACTATTGCCCTGACAAGCTAACCAGCCATGATCAGACCTACAACTGTAACTACTGCCCTGACAAGCTTACCAGCCATGATCAGACCTACAACTGTAACTACTGTCCTGACAA